ACTCTCAAGGCTTGCCAATAGCTCGGTCTGCCACAATGACGGGGTAAATGGATTTTAGAGAGGAAAACAATCCAAACAGGATTGTTTGGGTCTTTCATAATGCAAGGTTGCGCTATTTTACTTATCTCATGAAGCTGTGCATGATCTGTTTACCTTCCTTACTTCTGTCACCTATGGCCACAAGTCTACTGAGGCTCTACAATCCAGACACCATAGTCCTATTCACCTCCTCAGATTCGCGTTTCTTATGTTAGAGTTGCACATGTGGTTTGCTCTACTGAGAACCTAAACCTTACCCATACCCCTTTAGATCAGCTCTTATCTGGACACATTTTGGTTTGTCGCAACTGGGAGAAAGTGCTATTGGTATTGAGAAGGTAAAGGTCAAGTATATCACTGAACATCATCCAATGCACAGCACAACTCCCCATTGTAGAGAATTACCCAGCCCCGAGTATCAATAGTGCCAGTGGTGGGAAACACTACTCTAGATAACTCTAAGTTATCAATATTTCACTGTTTCTGGGAAGCCTTCCTTGATCATGTGTTTAGATTAGGTAGTTTGAGTCACCTTCTAATTACAACTGCAATTAATTTTCTGTTTAGGCATTTATATAATTCAGTCAAAGGAACAACTGGACATTTAGAAAGAAGTTTATCTTACCATTAACTGAATAGGAAAATGATCAAATTCCAGAGGATACACTTTTCACCTGCAGTCTCCAAACCCTGGCAGTGGGCTGGTACTTAGTCGGTAGCCTATTAGGAACTGGGCTACCAAGCAGGAAGTGAGGATCAGGCAAGCCTGTGAAGCTTCATCTGTATTTACAGCTGTTCTCTGTAACTCCTATCACTGCCTGAGCTCTGCCTCGTGTCACATCAGTGGTGGCATTAGATTGTCATAGGAGCACGAACCCTGTTGTAAACTGAACATTGGAAGGATCTGGATGGTGCACTCCGTGTGAGAATCTAATGCCTAATGATCTGAGGTGGAGATGTAAAGTGTCTGAATCATCTGGAAAACATCTCCACCCCATCTGTGGAAAAACTATCTTCCATGAAACCAGTTCCAACTGGTAAAAAAGTGTAAAAAAGGTTAGAGACTGCTGCTTTTATCATTTCCCTTACTCCGTGTCCTGACAGTCTGGTTCCCCATACTACCTTCCTGTGCTCTTCCCTCTCAGAGTCCAGATTCATCCAGAACTCCACTTTCACTTACTCCCATTTCACTCTGAGGTTTCTTAAATCCAAGGCCCAACTTGACACTTCCAGTTCATTCCTGGACCTTACATTCCTCAGTGTATAGCACTGACATGGCCCCACAAAGTCTTTTGAAAATATTTTTGCTAATAATGATGGCCTGTCATAGACAATTTTGATGCAAGTTTATGCCCCAAACCCTTACTTCAACAGGTATGAAAATTTATAAAAAAGAAAGTTCACACAAATATTTCCCACTTGCCATAACTGTGGGAAAAATCCAGACAAAGGAAGTTATGGGGGAGGCAGAGTTCACAGACCTAGAAGTCAACATAGACCTTCAGACTTACACTCCCATGTTCTAAACGTCTTCTTCACTATTACCCAACTTCCTCCCCTCAGCCTAAATTACCTCTAGTACTGCCATATTGCCCTAGTCCATTGCAGTTCCTATGACAAAATACCACACACTGGAACTTTATTTCTCATATAGACTGGCAAGTCCAAGACCAGGGTGCTGGCTGAGTTATGACCCACGGTGAGGGACTTGCTTCTTGGTTCATAAGCAGCCGTCTTTTTAATGTGCCCTCATGTCTTGATTATCTTTATATGCCTAACATGTAGTTCTAACTCCTACCTTGAGCACAATAATCATGTTTCCAGAGGTTGAGGCAGGAGAATCCCTTGAGTCCAAGAGTTTGAGGTTGCTGTGAGCTATGACGGCACAGCACTCTAACGAGGGTGACCAAGTGACTCTGTCTCAAAAAAAAAAAAAATCATGTTTCCATTCTGAAAAGGTAAATATTGGAAAGACTTGCTCTTTTTGCATCAGAGAATAAGAATTTTATCCAAGTATATCACAGTGACACTCTGATACATTTTGATACATCCTTCAGTTGCAAATCTCCAAAACAAAGGTCGAAGTATAATATTAAAATATATTTTCTTCTTTGAACTGACATTTAGAAAACTAGAAAAACAATTGGCTAAGAAAGATATGGAAAAATATTAAACTCATGAGTAATCAAATAAATGCAATTTTAAAACAATTAAGTAGAATTTTTACTTTCTTAATAAAATGAGAATATCTAGTGTTGACAAGAATGGGGGCGCATAGCCATTCTCATCTGTATTCAGAGTGTAAATGGCTAAAAAGTCTTTGTAAAAGTCTTTTTAATTCAGCAATCAGTAGCAAGATACTTAACAATGAATATCAACAATTAAAATTGGTTTGGTGTGAATTTCAAAAATTAATTCAAGAAAATGACAACTCCTCTTTCTCTTTCCTTTCCACTCCCTATTCCCTTTCCTTTCCTACTCTTGCGTAACTAGGAGCCAAGAAGATGGCAGGACCTGGACATAGCAGGGCTGAGGGGACAAAGGGAAGAAACCTAATGAAGAAACAATCTTACTGGTAAACGTGGGGAATCAGGAAGTCAATCTAATTAGGCCAGCATCAGTCATGGTTTTAGGACAATTCAGTGTAATAAGCCCTTCAAACAGAAAGTCATCCAAAGAAATCATTGGAGATAGAGTTAATTAAATACATAATTAGAATCTGATTTCTTGTAAAGTCCTAGGGGGAGACTAAAAATAAAATTTTTTCATTTGTACTCTTTTGGTTGTTTGCTTTGCTTTGGGTAGTCTAATACTTAAAAAAAAAAAAAGCAACATAAAATAATTACTTTTAGCTGGACATGGTGGTACCCCTGTAATCTTAACTACTCAGAAAGCTAGGTGGGAGTTCAAGATTGCCTGGGCAACATAATGAGACCCTATTTCTAAAACAAAGAAACAAAAAAATACCAATTTTTTAACCCTTATCTTTTTAACATTTTAATAAAGTCCTGCAGACTTTCAGATTCTTTCCCAGGTTTTACACAGCTATTGCCAGCTATACTTCATCGCTGAAGTTCTTGATTTGATTAAACTGGGCAGGCATATATTGAACACCTACTGTGTACCAGTCGCTGTGCATAGGTAAGAAGCATGTAAAAATGAGTATGACAACATCACTGTCCTTACAAAGGGCTCATGGCCCAGCACCACGGGATGCCAGTGGTGACACTGAAATGGGAGATGTGTCAGAGTTGACTAAGTTACGAAGTACCACAAGGGCACAGGGGAGGGAGCAAGGTGGCATCGCCTGGAATGCCTGGCACACAAAATAAAAACAATGCCTGAGTTTAGCCTTGAAAGAGTAGCAGTTTACCAAGCAAAATGGAAAAAAGAAATGGAGTCCAGACTCAGATATCACAACACACAGAGACACCCAGAAAAAACCACAGAGAATTCTGAGACTAGCAAGAGGCTTCAAAAGTCTTATGTGGACAGGGCATGCAGGGATTGGTCAGGGTCATGGTAGGGTTGAGAGACTGGGATATAATTAGTGAATGCTATGCCTCCCTCTTGCATTAGAAAGGCCACAGGGGAGATGAAGAACATAGATGTGTCCAACAAAGATCACTCAGGCACCGACATGGAGGAAAAGATGGAGCAGAGAGACATAAGAGCAGTGGAATCATTCAAAGGTAAAAGAAGAAAGGGTAGGGCCTAAAAGGAGCCCAGCACAAATGTCTCAGTAGGAAGCCACTTCTGTAGAGAATCCTGGGGTCCCAACACTGTCCTAGGTGGTCAGGGCACCTGCGTGGATAGAGTCTTCTTTTCATGTCACACTTAATATACACAAATTTTTCTCCTCCCACCCCCAGGCAGATATGAAGAGTCATGGACAGAGCTGAAACAAGACTGTCTTGGATTCAGAAAAAAAAAACAGGATTCAAAAGATGTCACAAGACCAGGTTTGGAAAGCAGTGACTCCCTGCAAGTGACCTGATTAAAATTAAAATTGTAAACATTGTAGATGTTACCTTGCATCTTTATTTTTGTGGTAAGAATACTTAAATCTGTTTGGTTAGCATTTTTCAACAATACAATGCGTTGTTATTAACTATAGTTATCATGTTGTACAATAAATCTTTTGAACTTTTATCTTTTATCCAACTGAAATTTTGTGACTTTTGACCAACATCTCTCTAACCATCCCCCACCTGCACCATACCAGCCTCCTGTAATCACTGTTCTACTCTCAACTTCCATGAGTTCAACCTTTTTAGACTCCTCATGTATGTGACATCACATGGTATTTATCTTTCTGTGCTTATTTTCCTTAACATAATATCCTCTCAATTTTGTCACAGGCAACAGGATTTCTTTCTTGTTTACAGCTGAATAGAATTCCACTGTGTATATAAAGCACATTTATCCACTGATGGACACTTAGGTTGATTTCTGTATCTTAGTAATTATGAATAGTGCTACAATGAGCATGGGAGGGCTCATATCTCTTCACCATAAACATACTGATTTCATTTCTTTTGGGTATATATATAATTGCTGGATCATAAGATAGTTCTATTTTTAACTTTTTGAGGAATCCTATGGCTGTTTGTAAGTTAGTAGGTAGAAATTAAAAACTATATCTTAATTTCTGTTCCTAGAGAAATGTTTCTAGTAGGAAGACTGCCACGCACACATAGTCACTGAGGCATCAGCATTGGTCAATGGGGACTTGACACCAGCTTCTGTCCATACCAGCCATGGCATCTCTTACCCTAACTGTGTAAGTCTCCTCATCTATAATCCAGTGTTGCTCCTGAAGGCACAAATGTCATTTAAAGCCCTTAGTCTAATGTCTGGCATTTGGTGCACATACACACACATACACACAAATGGGTTGGCTGAATAGACCAACAAATATTATAGTTCTTAATACTCTATAAACTGACATTTACCTTTGTTAGTAACTCTGATACCCGTACTTGATCTTCTAATCGTAGATGCTTTAAATGGAATCAGGCAAAAATATTTATCTCCACTTCTGTAAATAAAGAGGCAAATTCAGAGGCTGAACAAAATAGCTTCTGAAGGTCGAATACAAAGTAAACCTGAGAATAGATTCTACACCTTCAGTCTAGATTTTAAGTGCTTTATAATGTATCACCCATTCATTGTTTCTTCTTTTCTTCCACAAAATATTTATTGAGTTTCTGTGATGAGTTAGTCCTTATGGCAAACATAGTACTCTAGGTCCTGAGAATGGAGGGGCTGAGTTTGAACCCACCACCTCCGATATGTGGGACCGGCACCCTACTCTTTGAGCCACAGGTGCTGCCACAACCTATCTCTTTTAGGAAGAGAAATGTGGCCTATTCGAGGCTGTCAGTGGGAATGAGTAGAGAGCCCAGCACAAAGTAAGTGTGCATTAAATGGCTAGCAAATGGAATCACTGATAGATAATTCTAATACTACCTATTTCATGACAACTGTCTCAAGAGTCATGAATGCTGAGCAGAAAAGGAGACCTCTGCTCTGTAGAACCAGAGGTGTGCAGTAATACATGGGCTTTGAAGTAAAAAAGACCAGTTTTAAATCCCAGCTCTGTGTGAATTTGGGCAGCACGCACTTCAGTGAACCTTATCTGGAATAAACTTCAGTGAACTTTGTGTAAAATAAACTTTATCTGAAGTTTATTTTGAACTTCAGTGCCTTAATCTGGCAAATGCAGCTTATAATACTTGCCTCGGGAACTTATTTAGAGGATTAAATTCGACGGCCAGTTGAAAGCACCTGGCTTAGGAAACTGGCACATCGGCGGGGCATAATCAGTAGTTGCAATTGTCACTTGTGCAAGTCTACAAGCTTCAGCATCGATCTGAGATTTACAAGTATGGTAGGTATGCAGCCAGGCCAGCACCCTGACCAGAATTAGGGCTGGAATATCCCACAAGTCCAGCCACACTCCGAACACAGGGTTTCTTCTCAGACTGAGCAAGACCGTTTGCTGGCCTTCCCTTCCGCACCAAACACTGGAGGTAGGAGCAAGTCCCGGGCTAGCAGAACCACTTCCTTTCTCTCTGAGGCTGAGTCATGGTCACTCACAACTTGTGCCTGCGTCATTAAAGTGCAGAGGTCTGCAGGCGCCACCAAAGTGAGCTCTGGCTTTTTATCCTCCTGGCTACAAAGGCCAGAATCGCACATAGACCAGGAATGTAAACATAGTCCACAAACGTCTATTTGCTTTCAAATTGGCCAAAGTTTCCTACCCCACACTCCCACCCTCCACCCAAACCTCAAAGGCTAGAAATGCCAAGGAGCCAAATCTTCAGCGGTTACTGATTTGAAGAGAAGCTTTGAGCTTGAAACCCAGGATTTTTAAAGATTATTTGTAACAACTTTAGTAAGAACTGGGATAAAAATTCATTTTCTGCATAATTCCATAAAAAGCATAAACATGTTAATATCTGAACCCAGAAATATAACTAAATATAAAATATGTAACTAAATATAAGACTAAAACCTAGAAATGCAATCAACAAATTGAAAGTAATAGTAACAATCAATAAAAGGAAAATGATTAGGTAAAACTGTAACACGTTCATATATTGGAATGTATAGAGTTCCTAAAAATGTTAGCATTAGGGCAGGAAAAAAAATATTAAAAAAATTAAAAAATTCTGCATATGGCATGATTCCAATTTTTAGACACTATATATGATATACTAAAAAGATTACTTCTACATGGGATTACAATGCTTATTTTTTTAGTTATAGTTTATATATATATTTATGCAAAAATGCTTAAAATGAATATTATTAAAAAACTTTTTAAAATGTATAAGTAATTTTCAATCACCATCCTCTTAAGAAGGAGATCTGAGACAGATAAATTCAATAAGAACCTATTTAATTAAGTACTTACATGATGAAGTTCTCATCGTGTCCACAGACACAAACTGCTTAAAGGCTGTCCCAAAGGTAGCAGTGTTGCCCTCCTTACCAAATTTCTGCACAACACTGTATGAAATTTAAAAGAAAAAAAATGTTAAATCCTGGATTTTAAATTTGTGAATTAGGAAAGTGAAGTGTTAATACTCACCATGCTGCTAAATGGTTACTAAACTTGACTTGTTATTATTATACTAATAATTATATACAATTATTATATTATTATTCCCTGTTTTTTAGATTTTTCATTTGGAAAATGAGGGAGAAATCATTCCTTTACCTGTTCACGTGTTCACATATTCAAGAAACATTTCTCAAGGGTCTACCATGGGTCAGGTACCATTATAGGCCCTGGGAGCCCAGCAGTGGACAAGGAGATACATCTTTGGTCTTCGGGGAATTTATACTCTGGGGGAAGATAAACCACAGACTATTAACCCAGTAACCAATAAATACGTAAAATAGTATCAGGTGTTAAGAAGATGAGGGTGCAAAAGCAGAAAGGGAGCAGCCTGCGAGGTGTGCAAGGAGGTGATTTGTAAGCAGATAACGACGAACAAGCCACCTGGTATCCAGACGGAGGGGGGGCCCAGGCAGAGGGACCAAAAGCCAGGAAGCGGGGGTTACTGAAGCAAGGCACGCCGGAAATTAAAATCAATCACTTTCCCACTGCCATCTAACCTAGTAAAGTCCACGGGAGAGCCTGTCAGCAAGCTCAAAATGCTCCCGGCGCACTTGAGATCTAAAGTCCAAGGCCTTCGCGCCGAGAGCACGTTGCAGGAACTTCATCAGCCCCACAGCCAAGCTTTGAAGGCCCGCTGTGCAACTATTAGCTGATCTCACTTGACAAACAGTGACGCAGTCCCCGGGCATGTTTGCGCCCACGCAGGTGATGATTTTCTCTCCACTGACTCCAGTCAAGGACTTTCCGCGTCCAGATTTCAGGCTCCAGGTGATGTTGAGCACAGAGGGTCAGGTGGGGAGCGACTGGGTCACGCGCAGGGCGGGTGGCAGGATTTGTGCCTGGCTCACATTTCAAAGGTCCACTTTCTCCACACGATTAGTTTGTGTGCTGCGGACAGAGTAGGATGATTCATCAATTTCCACCCCCCCACAAAAGGAAGCTATTGTTTAGATATTTTTAATATGTTTTGTTAACCCCTACAGAGGGAACTATAGCTCAGGAGGATAAACTGGGATGAAGTTAAGGACGAAAAAGAAGCAATTACTGTCATCCATAATTATAAACCTGATCATTTATGGCGCACTAATACTTGCATCTCCAAGCAGACGTTATTAATTAGTGAAATAACAAGGCAGTTGGTATTCATCCCAGCTCAGAAGAATTTAAACTACTTCAGCTGGGCAAACAGGGAACTCAGCTTTATTACTTTTTTTCCTGATAGATGGGGAAACTGAGGCATGGGACTTGAATAGGTCATGAAAAAAAGTAAAGTAAAAGAAGCTTATAGAAACAAACAACAAAACTTCGTAGAAATAAGACGGTCACCCAGAGTAAGAGTACACTGGGATAACTTGCAGAGATGGATATGAGATTATGTTAACCGCTCAGTATCACCGTCAGCTTTGTCATGTGATCTGGCCTCTCTGAGCCAGTTTCCCTTCCCATAAAATGGGGCTGTCAATCCCTGCCTGACACGCACAAGCATGCTGCAGAATACATGAGGAACCTATGTGCTTGGCAAGCAGACACTCTTTGTCATGGGAACCGAAGCTGCCTGGACCCCAGGGAAAGCACCCTTGCAGGAGGAGTCTGGGCATTAACCCAGAGTCTGTGGAGCTAGATGACCCTGAAAACTTTTACCAAAGGATGCTGGGACCACACAGCCATAAGGAAATCAAAATCACCTTAAACTGTACAAAGTCTAGTTGGGTTTTCAGTCTGAGGCATGAGAAAGAATCATAGCGGGTCCATTTTCCACACAAAAAAGATACAGCTAGAAGGCGGGGCAGCAAAGTGAGTGGTGCATCCAAGCAGCCAGTGACTTGGTTCTGGAATGAAGTGATTTGTGAAAGCATTTGTAGGTACACTTTGATAAAGTGCTAGCTAGCTCTGTGACCTGGAGAAGTGCTCATGGCAAAAATGTTCAGCTGTATACAATTAGAACTTGTGGCATACTACATGAACTTCTTCTGTAAAAAAATGACATTCACAAATATAAATAGCAAAGGTATCTCAGGAGTTTTTCCCCAGGAGAGTTTCTTTTTATTTTGTTTTTAAACAGAGGTCGACCAGTCTGAAGCAAAACAGAAAAGAATCATCGCACTATAACAGAAATCTGAGACAAACCTCATAAAAGCTCTTTGCTTTTCAAACTTAAAGAGACAGAAAATGGGAGAGGTTTAGCTGCTCCCACATTGAAAAGTGTATGGGGTGTCCAACCTTTTATTTTTTCTGCTGTGCATGGGAAAAAGAATTGTCTCAGACCACGCATTAAAAACACAAATACTGATGAAAACTGATAAGAAAAAAAAAGGTTCATGTATAATTTTCACAGTATCTAATGCCACAGATAAGCAAAACAGGCCTCAAATCTGGTCTGCCGCCTGTGGGCCTTAGCTTGGACACCTCTGGTAGACAGTGTTTCATCAGAATCCAGAGTAGGTCTTCCTTGCTAAGCACAATGTCATCTTACCCCACACAACATGGTTCACTGTAGATGTACCTTTCAGATTCTCAGGGAACCCCTCAAAGGGTAGGATGATTGTCATTTCTGAGTCTTAAGTCCAGGTTACACAAGATTCTCGTTCCAGAGAAAACAATGTGATTGAGCAACAGTAGCAGGGTGTTTGGAGTCAGGGATCTGGCTGTGATCTCAGGTAAATCACTGAACTTTGTTGAGCATCAGTTTCCCCATTGGTTAAATGCAGGTAACAGAGGCAACCTCACTAGTTTGTTTGGGCATCACATTTTAAAAGGCAATTATAGAAAAAAGACATTGATAAAGAATAAAACCAAAAAAAAGATCCTGTTCCTTCTCATTTTCTCTTTCTTCTTTTTCTCAATGCTGTTGTTATTCTTAACATCTTATCATCATTAGATGGCAAGAAAGTAGCCTCTCATTTCCCCTAGGTCTTCATCATGTATCTTCAGTGTGATTCTTTGAACAGGACTCTGGATGGATGAACACATCTCATCCTACATTGCCATCATCTCTTTAAGCAGCACCCATCTCTGAACAACCTGAATGCAGGAAGAAAGCAGGATGACAAGAGGCTCTCCATCTATTACTACTGATCAATTAGTAGAAATTATATAAAGATTCTATGCTTTCCCCATCTGCTGCTTGCCATGAACTCTACTATGCTATTCTATTGCCTTGAATTACTTGTGATAAGGAGGGAGTGTTTGTTAAATATTATCTAGCCAGTAATATCCTTATTTGTATAGGACACCTGTTATCCCCAGGTTTCACTTTACCCTATAAAATATCTTATTATCTAAAAGACACATCCCAGTGCCATCAGTGATGAAATCTCCCCCACATCCTTAGTTCCAAAAGAGGCCTCTTTGGTTGGTTGTCTCTGGCCGTTATTACCCCTTAGAACATATGTTGTCACCGGTCTAAATAACACTTTATTTATCTGTTGAGATCAAGGAGCCAATGAGGTCTGAAACATTGATCTGGGTATAGGAGCCCCCCAGGCTTTGACTGTGATTGGGGTAGTTACTATGATGATGATATTATTGATAACCTGCCACATGGCTTATAATTCCTATGGCATATAGTCCTAACCGAAATACTGGTTAGAATATGTTGGATATAGGTAACACAGGAACCAACTGGGAATTACATACATAAAAGGCAGTATTTGTATCACATGTAAAACACTTCCAGTGGTGTGATTCTTCCAGGAAGGGCTCTACACCTTGACCTTCCACCCTCTTCAGTCTCCCTGCTTTGCCTCAGATTTTTCTCTTAATAAACGTAGGTGGCTGTCGTATACAACTCCAGGCATCACATCCTCACATAATAAAGTGTAAAATTGGAAAGAGGAATGAATGTTCCTTTGTGAGTACTTAGTAGGAAGAACACAGACTTTGGACTTATTTGTTCATCAATTACTACTGCTAAATAAATCAAACACCAGCTAGGCTCTATCACATTACCTGGAGGGAGGTCGTAAGAATTTAATGAGGCCAAGTCTTAGGAGTAGTGCCTGATGTAGTAAGTGAGCTGTACATATATAAGTACAAATGCTCACTTTCTCTGGAATAAATGAATGTGCGAATGAATTCTCAAACTCATTTTTCCTATGGTATGTTACATTGTGTCTCTTCTCCTGGTTCTGTATACTGGCTGTTTTCCAGAATCTGCCACTTGGTGTATGGACTGACTGTGAGGCCCAGCCTCTTCTGCTCTGGTGTGGATCCTGCCAGCTTCCGGTTTTGCTCCTGTCTACCAGCCCTGAATTATGCTTCTCACTCAATGTTGACCCAATAAATATTTATCAAGTACCTACGAGTGTGCCTGGCACTGGGATGGGCCCTGTGGATGCAATGGTAAGCATCTGTTCTTCCGCATGTATATACACAGCCAGGTAAATGTAACCCTAGAAGAAAAAAAAAAAAAACAATAACAATTAAGTGTGAAAAGAGATAAGCTTGGGAAGTACAGGGTGCTGTGTAAGAAAGCGCTCAAAGCAAACAGTGTATCTACATGTACAGCACACTGTTCATCTCGTCCCATTTGCCCAAGATGGTCTCTCCTTCTCCTTCTGCCTGGTTAAATTCTACCCATCTTAGATGTTATTGGGCGTAGGAATAGAAAACAAAACAAAATAGAACTCAAAATGGCATAACTAGCATGAGACAGGTTTTTCTTTTTCTTTCTTTCTTTTTATTTTTTCGTTCATATGACTGAATAGTCCACAGATAACTGATTTTAGCAGAAGACTTTCATCTGGTGACTCAAGAAAGGTGAAAGAATGGCCTTCTCTCCGTTTCTCAGCTCTAATCACTCAGCTTCAACTCCGTTATTGGCGAGCTCCTTCCCTCCTGGCTGCAGGGCACACCTGCTTCCTGGTGCCTGGAGAGAAGGAAGAGAGTGCCCAGTAAAACTCTTCTCAGCCTTTGTTGAATTGGACCCTTTAAGTCCTGCAGTCAGTCTCTGGCTAGACAGAAGAATGTATGATGAGTGGTCAGTATTGAGCCACGTGCCTACCTCTAGACCAAGTGGTTCTCAACCTTCCTAATGACACAACGTATTTTCATTGTTAAAAAGGGTCGTGATCCCATAGGTTGAGAACCACTGTTCTAGACCCAGGGAAGAGCTCAAGTTTCCTAAAACGTCTTATTGTTGAGAGAGGAGTCAAGTGTAGACATTAAATGTACCT